TTAGTTGGGAAGATGCGAATTTTTAAAGTAGAGAGCGCAATTGGAAAGCAATGTTCATTTTGACATCCACATTACACGCTAAACTGAGTTTAGGCGCTTGTTTTGAAACTTTCAATGGTCTAAGGTTCAAGTGTTTTCTGAAGATTTGGAAAATTTGAAGTTGCTACTTGCTTCAACTTTTAGGATTCGAATTTTAAAAAAATAGTGGGAAACAAAAAAAATTTTGAAACTTTCAGATTCGGTAGGACCGAATGTCGCCCAAAGATCATGCTTGGCTTGCTACTTGCTTTATTGTAAAATATTTTTTTTTAAAAAAGGGCCCTGTTTAGAAAGATTCGTATTTTGAGATGCACATTTACTAAACAGCATTTTTAATGCTATCAAATCAGCATTTTGCTCGATTTACTTGAAACATTCAGTGTCTTTAGGCCCGAGTGTCTTCCAAAGATGAGGAAGATCTTAAGTCGCTACTCACTTTAGTATGAAAAACGCGAATTTTTAAAGGAGGAAGCGCTGTTTGCTGAAATCTTGGCTTTGCGATCCATATTTACTAAGCCGGCAAAAATCAAGAATCTTGCCGATTTATGTGAAACTTTCACTCTCATTAGGCTGATGGGTTTGCTAAAGATAATGAAATTTTCAAATTGTTACTTTCTTTAGTGTGTAAGATGCGACTTTTGAAAGGAGAGAGCGCACTTGAGTAAAAACTGCAGTTTTGAGACGCAAATTTACTAAATTGGCACAAATCGGCATTCTGGACGATTTATGTGAAACTTTCAGTGCCTTTAGGCCCAAGTATCTTCCAAAGATCAGGAAGATTTCAACTCGCTACTTGATTTAGTATAAAGAGAGCAAATTTTTCAAAATGAGACCGCTGCTTGGAACTTGCTTTCTTAGATCCACACTTACATAGCCGGCAAAAATAAAAAAATTGGTCGATTTATGTGAAACACACTCTATGGCTGATATGTTTTCTAAAGATAAGAAAAATTTCAAATTGCTTCTTGCTTTAGCTTGTAAAATGCCACTTTTTAAAGTAGGAAGCGCAGTTGATGAAAAAGTGCAATTTTGGGACGCACATTTATTATATGTAGCGGCAAAAATCAGGCCTCAAGTCTAACGACAATAAAAAAATTCATGTTTCTCGTTGCCTCAATATCGAAGATACGAATTTTTAAGCGAAAGGGCTTAGCAGTTGAATAGCTAAAGTTTCGATATTTCTTAATATCCCTAAAAGTACATGTATGGAGCAATCTATATACAGAAAAATGTGGAATGCAAAGAAACTAGTAATTTACATAGATAGAGCGGGACACTTATCGTTTTACTTAATTCGTGTTATTCAATCTAAGAAATTGAGGAAAATACAGAGAATCAGAAGAAGTATATATAATTTCAACTGGAAATTGGTTGAATGAACTTAGTTCACAATTAAAAAGTCAATAAGTAATGATGAGTAGTGCAGATCTAAAATCAAATGAAAAAGACTGTAAACTCTGAGTTGACTGTAAACTCTGAATCAATGTGCGAATTGACACGAATGACTTGCGGATTTACGAAATTTGCTTAGTAGCTCATCATATGAACAGGACATAAAGAAACTAGTAATTTACCTACATAGATTGATCGAAAAACTCTCCGTTGCTTCGTGATTCGTCGCTTAATTGAATTATGGGTTAATTAATTTGTTAATCAACATAAGAAATTGAGGAAAATTAGCCAGAGTAATAAGAAGTATGAGCAATTACATCAGGAAATGGGTAAAAGGAAGAAAACAAGCTTGCTTCAAAGCTCGCAAAAAATAGAAACATTGACTTTGCCTCTGAATAACTAATAAAAGAAATGAAAAGAAGAAAGAGCAAATAAACATAGTTCAACTATCTCTTGGCTAAAAGCTTATTATGAAAAGTTAGTTCAATGAACATGAAACATTGTTGCAAATGGTCCAAAATGACTTGCCAATGTGGGAAAATTACTTATTAGTAGATTATGTGAATAGAAGATGAAGGAAGAAGTATTTACATAGAATTTCCTAAGTCATTCATATTGTGTAATAATGTTTTAACTTCGGATTTCGAAAATATGTTCCGGATTTTTTCCCAGGTTTTAATTTTATTGACCCATATGAATTCCTTGGCCCCATGTAAAAAAACAGCGATTTCTGCCCACGCAAGTGTTCTCAAATAGAAATTCAATTTGCATTAGCATTAACAACTATTATAATTTAATTACACTGGCTGATTTCGATTCGATAAAATGTCCATAGAAAATCGGTGGAAATTGGATTTTATCTACTGCTCAGTTTATAAATATAGAACTAAATGCATGGTCGACACTATACGTTCGTTAGATGAGGCAATATCTCCCACTTGCTAATGCTATTCACAAGTATGCCACTTGCTAATTGAAAATGTCAACTGATAATGCAAACAGGAATTATTATAACGTGAGACATTAGTAATAATGATAATAAGTTACAAACTTAGAAAATATTAGCTTGCCGTACACTGTATCGGTATACTCCTTTTAAAATTAAAATTTACTGATAGCAAATACTACACAGTTTTCTGTTTTTTTTTTGCCCGAAAACATCTCACTCAAGTGTACGTTTTTTCAATCAAAGTTATTCCTGACATCGGATAAAATTATTTTATGAATAACCCAATTCCAATCGTGTGTCGACAACCTGTTAGAAATATGCTCAATTTAATTTATTTTTCAAAATAAATATTTAAATTTTACGTTCAGTTTCTAGTGGCTGCAATAAAATAAAAACGGCTTTAACTGTTTACCATTCAAGGGGCTCTACATCTCGGAAGCAATCCGTTTCGAGACCCGTATTGATAGGAACTGTTTTTCTTATTTTTATGCTCGAAATAGGTCCGACACTTTTACGAGATTTTTTACAAGATTTACTGAATTACTCTGCATGTCTAGAATATCCGTAACGAATAATTTAATATGTAAGGTCTCATCTCAAAAGCATAGCAAAGCAAGTAAAGAACATTTGAGAATAAATTTATTACAAAATCATCTTCAAATTTTAAAGTTAAAGTGCTTTACTAATAATAAAGTAAGCTCCTTTGATGCGTAATATTGCCCTCATTTTCATGGTGTTAAACAATCGGAAAACGTAGTTAATCTCAGAAGTGTCTAGTTCCTAACAAAACAAATTTAAAGTTTGTCAGAATTGCAACCAGATTCGATTTTGCCATTATTTGGAATATCCATTGATGCACTTGTTAAGGAAACATCCGTTAGGAATATTCACATACGTGTTAAGATAGGATTTTCTCTAGTTGACTAATCCGTCTTTTATTGTTCAATAAATATAGAATGCCAGGTCGTTTTGGGTTGAGTAAATATTAGACTTTTCAGACAATTCAAATTCGTCGAACATTTTTAAAGATGTCATTTGCGGATGTCTGCAATAATTATGATGGGTTTTTTTCCTGCTACAAAAGTAATTTCTTAAAGCTTCTACGAAAAGTAATTTGCTGATGACTTGTATGTTCAGGTGCGTTATTTTCGCGTATCACATATAAGAATAAATTACACTAAGAAGAATGGAATTACCAAAGTGCATTGAAAGTTTTCTGATTAACAAAATATTTTAAGCACCTCACAACGTGTTTCAAAGCCAGAAATGGAATCAAATAAATATTATTAATAACATTTGCACTCAGAATAAATGGGAATACGCTAAACCACTAAAATGCATCGTTTATTAAAAAATATATATAAGATGAGTATAAATCACATCGAAGACTTTGAATAACGTAATAACACACAGTGAGCTTCTGAATAAATTAACTTCTGAGGGAAACGATGACTGCACATATCATTAAGAACATTGTTAGCATACTCGCACTCGTTACTTATGATGAATATTTGATCCGATTTCGTTTCAATACGAATATTGTCGATACTTAACAATCGTTTAGAGTTGCTTTTTGCCAATAAAAGCCGTTTGGCTGCGAACAAATACCTAAAATAAACGTTTTACATGGCAGGAAATTGCCAGCATCGAAACTGACATGCAGCAAAATATCCGGATTAAACATTAAACCATAGCGAAATTACGCTTTCGAGATTTTAAATGGACTATTGTTTAACTTTCGGGAAAATTGAAGTATTGGCTCAATACCAGATTCATTTCTAAATAGAAATCTCTATAGCCAAATAATCCGGTAAATCCACTATGTCATTAAAATACAATGGATTTGAAACAATAGAAGTTTGTGTTTTAAGGGCACTTTGGAAGCTTGGTTTTTAAAAATATATTTTCATACTTTTACGGATAATTCATTAAAGATTAAAAATTCGTACGTGTATTTTGATAATAAATAATTTTTATTACAATGCTTTATTTCAGGTCTTTTTTGGTTAATTCATCCTTTTGAAACTTGTTTATAAGAAGTTTTAAAAAGGCAGCTTCAGAAAGTTCATAGTTTTATATTTGCTCTAAATCAGTTCTTTAAATTAACCTGACATGATAAAACCTGTTCTAATTTGTGCACAGTAGTTCATTTCGTTTAAATTAAATAATTTTCTGGATGTTTTTGTCATTATTTAGTCATGTTGTTTCTGAAGAAAACACAGGGTTTCATCAAAGATTCATTCTCTTTCGATCGTATTTTAAAATAGGCTGTCTTAAAAATAAATTCTTCATTACATCTGGATTTTTTAAATGTTTTAATGCTTAATTTATAAGGAACTTTGATGTCATATATTTTTCATAATTCGATCGCAATAGATACTATGAGAAAATCGATCTTAATTTTGAAATGACACATTTCAAATAAAGCTGATTAATCAGCAGCGATAAAATATTATTTGGAAAACATGTAGGTAGGTAAGTATACCTATTGAGACTTTAGAACGTAATCAAAAGTCAAAAAATGTGTAAATACTTTTGAGATACGAGTACTAAAGTATGCGACAAATTTAGCGCCATATGAACTGTAGTATATAAAAGAGCTTTTAAATAGGGTTCTTACCACATGTGCAATAGTTTGATTTACTGCAGAAGTTGAGTTGCCTTCATTAAGTTGAACGCTGAGTTGGAAACAGAAACATGTCAGAATCGCACTAAACACTTTCATTTTTAGATTGCGCGATTTATTCATTAATCCAATAAATTTTTGACCGGTGTTTTTCAGTTCGTTTATTTTTCCACGCGATTAATACACTCTTTTGCGATAATTTGCGAGAAAAGATTTATGGCGACCGTGTAATCATCAATTTTAAAACGCTTAAAAATAGTTCACTATAAGGTATACCGTTCACGTAGGTTCACCAGTAAATTGAACTCACTGCACACACTGCGATGATTCTTGCTGTTGAACTACAAGTGTCACGTAAATGATTCATTTGCTCTAATCCACCATAAAACATGTATTCCCATGTTCACCTAGCTCTAATCAAATAGCAAATGCTAGAACGACTAAAAATTCGCTGTCCCTGAAAGTTTATCTCCACTTTCTACAGCATATCTTATCGCACCTACTATCAGTGACAATTGACATGGATAATGAAAAAATAATTCTTACTAAATGTGACATTTTTTAGTCGCGCTTATGTGATGGTTGGATTTTCCGCGCTCACGCTTAATGTGGAATGCTGTTAGGCGAAACTGCTAAGACTAAATCTAAATTCGGATTTCATTGGAGGTGGTTCTACTTAACTTAAGTCGTGCTGTTCGATTTGATTAAGGTTGGATTCCCGCTCGTTTCAAATAAATCAGTTGCAAGCAATCAATTGATTAAAACGTTTCACGGTTTTCACGCTGTTGCATACGTACATACTTAAGTAATAGTCAGTTTAAGCCTAGAATGAAAATTATTTCGGAAATTTCTTAATTTTGCAACAAATTGACAGTATTTTGGGATCAATGCTTTTTAGCGATTTTTTAGTTTTGAAGCCAATTTATGCACTGTTTCAATTTCCAGTCAATACCTGTAAAAATAATTGAAATACATACTATGCATATAAATTTTACAATTTTATTGACAGTGAGGTTGGAAGCGAATTTACCGTCGCCACTTGGAAGGCTTATTCCTCCAATGAATTTTTTTATGTCTCTGGTATTTGTTGTGAAAATTAAGTTTTTTAAAGAAAATCTTTCAAATTTCGAAAAGATGGATGTTAACAAAATCGGTTTGGCTTAGTCTCGGTTACTTTGAAATATTTTTTTCTTTAGCTCTGAATAGGTTTCTACGGTTGCTAACTTAATAAATCTACAAAACTTGAAACGAAGTTTTTTCGGGTTAAACTTAAAAATTACCGCTTTTCTTACATTAGATTAGATTTAGTGCGATTTTAGTATTTACATAATCGTTCAGTCTCGAATGATTTGGACTTGTCTGGATTAATTTGAATATTTTAAAACTTAAATAATTTTTAACATTATTGCTCATAATAAGCTGCACCTTAAACCTGTTATATTACATCAGAAGCAACTCACTTTTGAAAATTTTTCGAACACTTTCGTCTCATGATGTATAACCGCAAACATTGCACATTTTGTATAGTTCAACTATATAAATAGATTATTACTCAACTTATATACTATATACAAATAAAAATTTTAGATAATATAAAAATCCCGAATCAATTTCAACAGCACGTTCAGATAAAACATACTTAGATATACTGAGCAATGCACTCAAATTTCAATACTTTTAATAACATCAAAATTGTCCATTTTGCCATGAAGAAATTAATCGCTAAATCCTAGTATATTAAGATGAAGTTTTAATTAACCCATATAACTACTAAAGTTGAAATGATGCGAAATTTCCCAGCAAAACTTTGAGGTAATCACGAAAACTTCATGTACTTTAATTAACGAAGTCATAAATGTTATCAAAAGTCATGAAGTTCATATATTTAAATACCCTTAAAAGTACATTACACTCATTGTAACAACCGTGAATTGTTTTAGCAATTTATCCGTAATTTCGAATAATTTTGTGATTGCTCTGACGGAATAATTAATTGTTCTTTTTATATCTGCGTCCTGATTTCCATTGCAAAATATAGGGCGTAGACAAAAAGATCGCAAAAAATATTATATTATCAAGAAGACAAGTAATACGTGAAAAAGAGGGACTAAGAGACAGGTAGTTCTTATTAGCATTGTTATTCCTTAGGTCGCTTCTGGTTGCTTTAATGTCATGTTTCGTTACTGTTGACCYGTTTTTACAATTAGCGTTGCTTTTATCCAAAACGTATTTTCCTATAATACGGTAATTTTTCTGCAATATTTCTAACRAAATATCWAACGATCAGTCGTCATGCTTTACATGTTCGTGCAAAAAARCTTTCCTTTCAACAAACGTTTGCCATAGAACATTGATGTCTTGTATATCTTGATCCTTCAGCTGGTATCAATGACATGTAATTTGGAGGAATAACACCAACATTTTCTTTTCGCCTCGGAATTGAGTAGGGTTGTCTAGCTGCATTATCCACGATTATGGTTGTCGATGGATTTAGGTTGGTTTGCTCCATTTCACGCGCTACTTCGAGAACAAATTTATACTGGAAATATTTGGAAATCCGTTGTCCAACAGTTTAAGCGGTTATTTAGGTTTATTTAGTGCAAATAGTATGAATGTGTGGGATGCCGAAGGATTTAGACTTTATTTGCTTTAATATCCATCCTGCACAGTTTCATGGAGAACTTCTCTAATTGATGAGAAAATAAAATAGAGCACGGAAAGTAGGAATGAGCTATTTTATCCACGTGGCTAATGGGTTTGTCATTAGTCCTGATCAGAACAAGTATATTTTTAATAGTTCCTGAAGAAATAATTATTTAAATTGACAGTTTTTACGGATCCAACAGGATGTTCAGGTTTTTGCATGACTTTTCTGGTGGCTTCTCTTACGCTCTCTCTTTAAGCTGGCAACATCAATTTCTATTTTTTTTTTAGTTCAGCATGTTATTCCATATTTTCGACTTACGACCTAACTTTCGTTCCCAGTATTAGTTTTCAATATTGTTGTCCGATGTCCATGCAAGTAGAGTTTTCACTTGTACTCAAATAAAAAATTCAACAGCGTGAGGTCTGGAGATCGCGGTGTTTAAGCGATGGAACCATCACGATCTCTCCGATTGATTTTTCCCAAAAAAACGTGCTGTACATTTTACTGTTCAAATTGTCGTCAATAAAAGGTGCCCAAATAAATTCATAGTTATTTAGTCATGCTCAAACATTAACGGATAATCTTCTCTTGAAATGCGACCTTTGAATGGCATGAATTTGTTTTTTCGCAGAACTTTTCGTTTGCAAGTCAGTTTCGAAAATGTTGCTGTGATAGAATAGTTGTCAAGGTTCCACTCATTGTTTGCTTATCCGGAAGACGGTGATTCATTCCGCATATTCTTCATTTGAATGCATCAAAATCACGTTTTTATCATAAACTCCGCTTTTGATAAGCTTTTGATAATTCAGAAAAGTCGAGAGAAGATTTTTAATTCCAAAAAATAGTCATAGAAGTCATATACGAAGAATATCGGGTAAATCGGCGAACACCCTGTATTTCATTAAATAAGCAAGCACGAAATTGTTCGTGACTCCATGTTCAGGCAAGCACATTTTTGCCGAAAAATCTGAAAGTTCCTATTCTGCTTATACATGATTTCCATTACTTAGTAAATGAGGATTTGCTTTTTTCAGATAAAATCTATTTCGTAAGTTTAACACCGTCAATATGCATAATTATAGCTTTACAATGAATCCATTGGCTTGTATTTTTAACTTATAAAATTCTCGCTACGTCTAATAAGTGTGCGTTTTGAAAGAATCCTATTAAAAACGGTCGTGACTCTAAGTTGTTTGTTGTCCCAACCTTCTGTTGTACTTAGAATTTCATGTGTAATTATTGTGAATGATTTGCTCAAAACACAAATTCAACATTTATTTTCATAATATTTCAGCCTCATTGGTATTCAGCGAGTGATTCGAGTTTTGTAAAGAAAACCCAGAGATTGGATTTCTGCATAATCTTGCAGATTCATTTCACGATAACAGGTATTTTCCAGCAAGAATTTTTTTTTTAAGTGATTCAGTAAAGCTATGTGCTACCTACCTAATTATCGCTCACAACTAATTCCAATGGCGTTAATCACAAAAGATTGTAACTAAAATAAATCTCCAGGCAGCTAAAAATGCAGAAGTTGTTCTAGAATAAGTTTTGGGATCCCGAACGAAAAGCCGAAATTACGTGAATTTCCAATTTAAAATGCCATCAACCTTAATGTGGCATCCTCCGCCATGCCTTTTTTCAGAGATTTACTCTGGTACCGGTAGGGATTCCCATTCACTTCGTTGATTTGGTCCAACGCATTTCGCTCTCATTCCTTTGTATTCCGATTGAATTGCATATTGGGCCAGTGTCATTGTTGTACAAAATTCCACGAAGTCACGTACAGTACGTGTAAATAAAGTATGTCACACAACGAAGAAAAAAATCACTGGTAATAATGTGTCTCCATCAAGGTAATTTATTTCTAAGAGTTCCTTGTAGGTTCTAAAAAGATTTCCAATGTAAAGATAAATGTAATCGCCTAATAACTCAGGAGTATCGTGACTCTCTGTATATTTGATAAGATCGTTAAACGGCTTTTATGTTAATTATATATTGAGACGATTCAAATTAAATTGTTAATTGTTGCGCTTATTGTCACTTGAGATACAAGGAAGTCTTTTTATGCTGGGGAGTTTAGTTGAACGCATGTGTTCAAGGTTTGGAAATTCCGGATCTTTGCAATTAATGCGTGTATTACACGGCAGAATTATTTCTAGTGTCACTTAAAAAAAAAAAACCGAATTTTAACAATTATAAATTTAATGATAAATGACAACAAAAGCATTTTGTTTTACACTTTTCATTGCTCAACATTATCCTTGATATTCTAATTAGCCGTTTTCTTGTGGACTACGTGGATTTGTTGAAGTAGGCCGCTAAACCCGTTAAAAGAATAGAAGATTCATGATCAAGCACGCGTGCATGTTGACTTTTTTTGTATAACTATATTATTTTGTATACTATATTCCTGCTTTTTATAATATGTAAGCGTTTCCTGCAAAAGAGGAAATCCATTTTTGTGCGGGTTTTTCAGTGAAGACATTAAGTTTCATGATGGGTTTAGAATGACGTAGGACGATAATTTAAAAGATAAAGTTTATAATACGGGTTGAAAATGGAGAATTAAACCATCTTGAATAAGTCTTGTTAGTTATTTCCATATTTTATGAAATTTCTTCGTTTTCAACTGAAATTTGATTTTTGTGAAATAACATCTCGAATAAACGAATTGCTTAATTTTTCCTGAAGTATTTTTTATCATACGAATAGGTACTTCAAAGTGGCGATAGTACATCAACCACTTGATGCTGTTGTGTATAAGGGAACGTGAAAACAACATTTTACAGCAGACTGATAAAATTTCATCATGACGATATTATTGATATGATGAAATTGGTCAGTTGACAACCAGATTGATACTTAGAACCATCAGTAAAATTGGAAAAAGTGGCAAAACACTTAATTTAACGTTTCAATAAATGCCCATGTGGCTAGCAGCTAAATATTCCCTATATTAAATTGTCTGCATATA